CTCGAAAAAAATTCAACACAGCATAGCAAAGACGACGCATCATGATGATTTTCGGGGGATTTATTTAGGCTCATTTTAGCCTTTTCTTCAAAATCAGGAGTACAGTAAGTCATGGATAACCCCTTCCTCGAAGAAAAAACCGGTCTGCTTAAAAATGTAGCATTGGAAGGAGGTACTGATACTGTACTTTTCATTCCCGACTTTTGTATCACTCCATTTTTCAAGATCAGCACATTTTTGCGAAATCTGAAGTAAGACAGGTTCAAAATACGGGAGTTTACTTGACAATTATCCTTCTAATTTCATATGAGAGAGTTAGAAATAATGACAGGTCGGCAACACCTATGTTGCAGAAGAACTTAAAAATGTTGATTACCCATTTCCCACACAATTTCCCCATGAATCCTTTTTAACTATGAATCTCGATACAGGTACATCGAATTTTTCGTTGAAGAGAAAGGATTTGTTATAAGGTCGGTGGGATTTCGTTACGTGACGAAATTATACATCGTCATGTATAAGATGATTTCCAAAAGTATTCCTTTTCATTTCCACGTTGAAGCTGTTCGTTCCTTCATACTCGATTTTTTCCCCGGCGGGATTTTCAAAAGAATCAGTTCTAATAATACTGCCTTAGGGTTGCAAAAGAATTCGGCTTCAATCATGAACGAGCCCAGACTCGGAGATCCTTCTGACGAACGAACCTGTCTGCAGTCAACGCGTTCAAAATAACCAACCAAATTCTCTTTCTCCACGTCACACATTCACTCTGTCTGCAGAGATTATGGATTCTCTGGACCGAGGAGGAAACGCGTTGAGCAACAGCGGGGTCACGGCGTCGGCGCGGTCACGCAGAGAATTTTTAAAAACCCACAGCCACGCGACCCGGCGCATGTCCCTTTCAAGGGTCACAGAGGCAACTTGGTCAGAATATCAAGCATTTTTAAGAAAGGGAACAACGTGATCGTTGCATTCATACCCTAAATGCTAATGACGCACACCACCTCAAGCGAACATTTCCAGAACATTCTTCAAACCCAGTGTAACAAATCCGATCACACGGGCACCTCCGAAACAGGATTCGATCACGCACGGATACGGCATGTGTTGTCCAGTAGTCAAGTAAAATCCCTAATAACAGCTTGAAACTTTCTCTCGAAGAAAGAACAAAAACTCAAACCGTATCGGTTAAGCGAAATACTGTAAATCTACCGCAACAAAAATCGAAGTTCCCTCCCAAATTCACACTTCCTAATTTTTCGGTCCAAAAATCCAGTGCAATAGAAAACTAGCTCATGAGAAAGAAGCAAGCACAGTAACCATGCACATAAGCAAAATTGTGAACGGTATACACTTCCACAAAAACGCGAATTTTCGTCCTCAATTGAATTTCACATAATCAGAAGTTATCCTCGACTTTGAAGTGATTCTGCACATAACTATATAGGATCAACCTTCACCTGGAAAAAGTGAAAATTTCTCGTTTATCGATTTCATGCAAAAATTGTCACCGTTCTTGAGTTTGGAAGCTTTCGTTTACTGTAGGATCAAATCTGCTCCAAAAGAAAAAGCATAATTTTCGGTTGACGCTGACGTCAGGTCACAATCACTGGGTCGAGCATCTCCAAGGCAACTAATTATCCCTCAAACTTCATTCAAGTTGTTCCATTTCTGTTCGCATTTGCAAAACTTCATGGAAGTCCATGTTCTCCAAAAAGTTTCACGGATGTATGCTACTCGCTTCCATGGATATTCGCGGAAATCTGGAAAAAGTTCAACGGAACTCTCAAATCGTAAAACCTACAGAAAGAAAATGTTAACCGGGTCGACATTTTTCACAGTCAAACACACTGCGGAAATTCCGACGAGAGCCATAATAATAGAAGAAAAACATGTCCCACGTGAAACAAGAGTCAAGGTTGTATGGAGGGTTTCCACAAGAGGTTTCCAGAAAACAAAACTGACCCGGAAAGTCAAATAACTTCCTGTTTCCAAAGAATGATCAATCTTGTTCATCGATGATTTGAACTGAATTGCTAACGACACAGTCAGGCGTATCTAAAATCATACTCACAATTCTGTTACTGTGCTAGCGAGTAAACTTTTCAAAAATCACAAATAGAAACTATCGTATCATGATAAGCGACTGTGAGTGACGCAATTTATCGATCTCGTGCTTCGCTGAAAATACGATGTCTGATAATCCCGACAGTAGCCCGCATATAGAGGACCATCAGGCGAGACTCACGAAAAACTAGAAAAAAGTAAAAATCCTGTTCACACACTTATGTTTCCTATGACCACCTTCTCGGCATGAGATCCTTTCCGGATATGGTGTCATGGAAGGTTTCTGAACTTTGCGGAGATAACAATGTCTTAAGCTGAGAAACAGATAACAGACTGATCTAGTGAGAAGTACTTTTCAACGCCGAATAAAATTACACAGTACTGTACCTGAGCAAACCGAAGGAACTTTCAGGAGCAAGCACAAAGTAGCGATAAGCTAGAACAAAAGTAAAACTAGTCCCACGGCAGGTATACAGTAATCTACCAAGGGCGCCAGAAGCCCTACGACGTCCTCAAAAAAATTGCCAAGGTCATAAATGCAATTCCTAACCTGGCTGAACCCAGTTATCGACTTTCCGCGGGGTCACGGACGAATTCCAGGGTCGCACACAATTCCTGACCAGGTATCCATTGCTGTTGGGAACCCTAGAATTGTTTCAGGGTTCCCAGCACGTTCGCCTCCCGAGAAATTCCTCATTCTCGATTTTAATCTGTGCTGGCATACTGTATTCGCTGCGGTTTTCCACACAATTTGTATAACCTCGGAAAAAAGCAATACACATGCTCTCCCTACAACAATCTTCTTTACGATTTTCGCAGTAGAATTTGTTTTCTTCCATAAGGGTCACTACCCCTATTTTTCTATGGTAAAGGGACTGTCTACAACGAAATTCTCTCTACAAGACTATTTTTCTCGTTCCTAGAATTTAGTTATAGAGAGGGCTCACCTGTATTATACTACTGTACTTTGAACATCATTCGTAGCGGAGTCCTTCACATGTTTTACTTTTACGAAGGAGTTACCAGAATCTCGTCAAGTTTCGATGGCTCTCTCCAAAAATCCTGCGACATGAATACCCAACTGTTACAATGTGCACAAATTAATAAAAATATCTAATGAACAAGAATGATACGCATTCTAACAAAAAGAATTGAGCTTCACTTATTTCTAGATGCGTACTTTTTCCGTTTCTTATGAAACAGGGTAGATTCTTAGTTTCTTCATTTTCATTTTGATGCCAAGATTAAGGCAATGCAGCTAAAATAAAACAATCCTGAATACACCGTCAATTTTTCAGACTACATTCAGAAAATCCCTAGACGTGGGAATCCCCGAGCATAAAGTTTCAGCTAACAAAAATTTCAGATCCTCTTTATGGTCATTTCAGCGATTCAGGCGACACCTGCTGAAGATTCCAACGAAGAGACTCAATAGTAAGATGCCCGACTAAAACGAAGTCTCGAACGAATACAATCATCTCCAAAATTACGTTCTCATAATTCTGCCCACGAATTGTCGTCGACTATCGCAAAGCGCTCTGGAAACAATAAAACTCTTGGCACACCGTGATCTTAAAATTGGCACAGTTTCTGGAACTTATCCAAGCAGGTTCTTCTTATTCCCCCCTGAGCTCCGGAGTCTAGAAGAGCAAAAATGGGTTGATTACTTTCTGAACTCCTTTTTTTTTCAAACCCCCCCCCCCCCCCCCGTCTGTGCAACTCGGCAACCCTCGGAACGCTTCTTGAATTCCAAGTGCGCCTGGCGGTCGCTATGCAACCTCAGAAATGCTTGCTCCGAGAGGAACGCATCGCTCCACTAAAAAGATCAAGAGCCGAGACCAAGGGCAACAAGATCGACAGAGTTCGACGCGGACATATTGTCAGTAGTTCAGTACGAGAACTTCCAAGGTCGTGCGGTTCGTTTGGTTCTCAACAAAAAAATGATCGAGCCCCGTGAGAGGAATCTCTATGCTTCACTTCGACTTTCAACTCAATTGCGCAGTACACAAAACTGAGAACTCGTGCAAGTGCAAGATTATTTCCTCGATCAGCAAGATGAGATCTTCGCCGACCTCTGTTTTCACGCTCAAGCCAAGTCAATTTTCTCTAAATCACTGTACGTCATACTGTATTCGCAAAATTGAGAGTTCAGACAAAAATACTTCCTCATTCAGCGAGATAATGATTTCTTCGCCAAACTATTTTTTTACACGCTAATCAAGTCCCTTATCTCTCAAAACACCATTAAGCTGCATGCGAGCATAGGGACAAAAAGGAAATCAGCGTTCCATGCAAAGCAATATACAGTACTGTACTTCAATATGAATTTAATCTCGTTACAACGAATCTGTTGGGAAAAGTTACATAGCTTCGTTATCATGAAAAATTCTTCATGAAACAACTCATTTATGATCGCGACTCTTGGGTAGGAACCAAAGGAACGACATCATTATAAGCGATTACAGTACTGTATTCGTTTTAACGAGATTCTATTGTACTTAAAAGCAATATACATGTACTGTATCACCACATACATCAAGTTTAAAATTTCTTAACGAAAGACAAACGCGGAGTGACAGCAACGGCGTTAAAATTTCAACAACAAAAAATGGAAGAAGAGAACGAACGGCATGCTTTTTCCTCATTCCGACGTGTTACGGTTTCCTCAAAGCAACAACGACGTGCTTCGGAACCGAATGCGGGGTGACAAGAAAAAAAATTTAGAACGAAAAAATAGACGACTGAATAAACGTTGACGAATATAGAGAGCTACAAGTCTAATAATAGCTCTTCTACGCATCTCGAACAGCGCCTCCGGTCAGGGTTCACGCGTCAACGGAAACTTCCCGAGTTGATGCGTCACGAAGACACCGAACAGATGTGACGAAGTAAAAAAAAAAAAAATCTATGCAACCAAAATAAGGGGAATCGGATCAAAATAACTTACCCAACGTATCCGTAGTCGGCTGACCAAGGTAAACACGGTAGCAAATGACATAGGCATCTCGGCTTTGACGCCGTGAAACTCCGTACGCAGGAGTCGTCCTGGTGACGGATATCAAGGTTTTCAGCAGCGCCGACATGCGGTTGTAGACGAGATACGAGGATTTGCCGGGCGACACAGGACTAGAGCTGGGGGAAGGCTCGTCGACGTTCAGTTGCCAGCACTCGAGCGTCATCACGTCTCCGTCGGAAGTTTTCAAGGATATCTCGACGCACAACGGGATACCAGGGGACGGCAGGGAACCCGACAAGGCTTTCTTCGTCTCTTTACGCACTTCTTCCTGCTTGTTCAGGGCTATGTTGAACTGCGGGCCAAAAGAGTTGATTTCATATGAAGTACGGAAATTCGTTGCACGGGTGACACCGTTGCACCTAGGTCAATTTCCTCGTTCAGCGCGTGTAGGGCATAGGCCACACACACACCTTGAAAACTTTCTGCGAAAGTTTTCCTCGGGCCCAAACGGACAGAACCTAAAAATTTCATCATAAAAATTTCGAAAAACAAATGAATATTTTAAAGCATAAATGGTTCAAAATACATTGAAATGATGCCTTTACGCGTTCTAAGTGATCAAGTGTAGATGGTAATTTCGCTTGTTTTGCATCATCTTGCGTACGAATGAAGTATAATTCCGAATAGCCAGGTTGTGGCCTATATTCGAATATCCTTGACAGGGGCAAAATGTTGGATGATAGAGCGGCCTAAACGCACGCAAATAAAATTTATGAACTACTAAACCCGAAAAAAACAGGATTGTTTCGGGAGCTTTGAAATTTCACGGAAGAAATTCGTGCCAAGCAAACGTGGCTTAACAAGAGAAAGTGAAAATAATCCTGGCATTTTTAGGACTGAAGTGTGCCGCGTTTGAAATGAAAGGTAACAAGACTAGTGGAAAATACTACAGTACTTGGAAAATGGAGGGGGAAAGTAGCATCCCATCTTAAAGACAAAAATCGGGACTATCACCTGGTCAATCAAAAAGAAAAAAAGGTGTTGGTATCCTCAGGAGGCAGGACAAAAAAAAAAGATGACCCGCTTTTCAAATCAGGGATTGGATAACGCAACATCATTCATCTCTCCTTAAATTAGTCGTTAATTAATCAGGCAGGAAATTTTCCTGGAAAATTATCAACAAAATTACTGCATACGGTAATAACTTTCCATATACAGTACTGATTGATTGATTGATGCACATGCTGATTTATTTGCCCTCATGAGCATTCACAAGGTTCACGAAGTTTTCCTACACCCCACCACCCCTCATTTGAGTACCTGTGCTTCTCAACTCAGAAGTTGCAAGGGACCGCTTCTGAGATTACTTTCCTCTCAAGATTATTGAGAATGAAATAAAGCCATCCAGCAGCATGAACAAGCACTCATTAAAAAAAGAATTCATTCGAAAAAAAGGTCAATACGTACACCAAGCAGATTACACTCATTCTTAAAATGATGACTTACCCAATCAGTCCCGAAGACGTCGGGTTTTGAAGGCGTAGAAATCCGCTCTCCTAATCGTGCTTCCACGATCACTTGCACCGCTTTGAAGCATAACGCATGCAAATAATTCTCGAAATCGCTCTGCGCACTGTTCGCTGGCTTAGACAACGCAGTGTGGCTAAATCTCGACATCGTCGATGAACCAGACGCCATCACCAACCAGTCACAACACTTTTGCAATCCACTTCACATCTGAAATTTTAAAATTCTCCCGATAAGCGTTCGATTTCTTCGATAGTTCACAACAGCTCACCAAATACCATGGAAAGATTTTTGTTTTTCTTTTTATCCACTGTTTAGACCGACGATCACCAGGGCATCATTCTCCCGGTCAACTCGTGATATTGCACGCATTAAGACCAAATAATTCGTCAACCAAAGAAACAGAGTTCAGTCGGAAACTGTGAATGTGTCAGTTCCACTCTATTACCAGATGACTTTCGAAAAAGGCCATTAAAAAAAAAAAAAAGCTTGAAACTGTCCTTACAAATTTGAAGCCTGCAAAAACGCAAGCAGTGCAAATTAAATGCGCCACACCCACAACGCGAAAACATTCTGCAAGCACCTTACACACTCAATTCGACGGCTTTTCAACGCGTGTAATCAAGCATTACACTTTTTTATCCTCACTCAGGAATTTAAAGACGGACGAGAAATCCAAATGACCATATCCTTGCACGAGCATAAGCTTGTAAATCTGATGAGCTAACGAGCCCAATGGAGTGGGGGTCTTGGCAGCAGTTGACGCGCTTTGGGCCAAACCCAGGTCTTTCGTCATCAATGCAGATCCAAATCCACCCTTGCGAATCGAAATAAAACGGAAAAATTAAACTCCCCGCGGAAAAGAAGTCCTAATCGTATCTGCGATCCTAACCTGGTAACCATTCGAACTAGGTACACCATCCATCACTCCAGGAACGGGATTGTACACTTCGCTCGACCAACAGCGACCGGAACTCGAATTCACAATAGAAGCCAAGACTTTTGGATCCAATCCCAGTCTACAAGATAACTACATTCATTGACAGCGAATCGGAAGAAATTCTCGAACTTACTTGATGCCAAGATTCATAATCTCTGACGTACCAATCATGGATATTGCCAAGAGCATGTTGTTACAGATTTTTGCAGCCTGTCCAGCTCCAACAGGACCGCAATGCACAATGTTTTTTCCCATGTTCTCCAGGATGTCTTTCGCAACGCTAAATGTACTCACATCGGTACAACCGACCATGAATGTTAGTGACCCAGCTTTTGCGGCATTGACTCCTGCGAAGCACAAAACATGATCAAGTCAATCTTGAAGCTTTTTTCGTGAAGTACCTCCGGACACAGGTGCATCAACAAAAACGGCTCCTTTTGCAGAAGCGAGAGCAGCCAACTCCTTCGGAACTTCTGGTTCAATTGTACTGCTGTCGATCAGCATCATTCCGTTGGACATGCCTCTGTCATTATCAACCAATGAGCCATTTTGCATCACCTTCAAGTTTCATTCGTCGATTTCGAAGTCCAGCGGTTCGTTGAAAAATGTTAAGGACGGAGTATTTCGGTTGACTCACGAAAAGATGCCATTCTCTCCAGTGTACGTCTTTCGCACACAAATGGAATCCGGCAGCATAGTAACGATGATATCCGCTTCTGAAGCAACTTTTGCAGGTGAATCCTTGCTGATGCCGCCTTTCTCCTCGAGGGTTTTTAAGGCAGATTTTGAAATATCAAAGGCTACCACTTCATGGCCCTGAAAAAATTCGAACCTCACCTCATAAAATGACAAGCGTTTATAATTGAGTAACATACTTTCTTCAAAAGATTCAGAGCCATGGGCCCGCCCATATTACCCAGACCAATGAAGCCAATTTTGGACCTGTCGACATTCGAACCTGAAGCGCAGAAAAAAAAAATATTTTTACAACCATTACGCAGCGGAGGAATACGCTAGTACTTGCTTGAGAAATGGCGAAGACATTTCGTGCTCAATTTAGCTTCACGCATTAAAAATCTCAGATGCTTCATAGCGTCCACTAACTGAATATCTGGAAGAAACCAACGACAAGGGGAATGTTTACACTGAGTCTCCAAAGCCATCGTTAGAAATTCACCCAGACATTCTTTTTTAATGATTGGATTGTCCGGGAAAAAATACATCCTCAGGCAAACGAACAGTTTCCAACATCGTTAAAAACATCAATAAAAATAACGAACCGCAATTTTCGGAGCTCGGGAAAATTTCAAAAGGCAGCTCAAAACAATCACTGCGGTCACATCTCGACTTCCGCAACTAAACCGAAGCTATTCGATGGAGATCCGGGTACCAAACCAACACACCTGAAGGCTAGGGAAAACGACGAGGTTTCCCTTCCAGAAGCAATTCAGCCCTTAATACCAATGGATTTTTCAATAGTTTTGGCAATTTTCCGCCCTACCAAAAGCCGAAGAGAGAAAATGAATGACTAGATGAGAAAAACCGACCAGACACCACGTAAGAAAATCGGAACCAACCCACCGGTAAGAATTAAAGCTCAGCGGAAATCATATAATGGACAACCAAAAGTAGTAAATTAGACCGTGACTTCTAAAACCAGCAAACATGCAAGAACAAATACACTGAAATAAATCAGGGCAATGAAATGTACAGGAAGAAGTAACTGCGCACGCATCGCATGGTTTAAAAGGGTCTCATGGAAAGGGTGTAAATCGTGGTCAAAGTTAGAACACTCAAATCACCAAAGTTGAAGTGAGTGTGGAAAAATGCAGCAAAATATTGAACTTCATGTTCTCATCAAGACTCGACCGATTGATCGGCAATATGTTCAAGATTCCCGTCGGAATCTTCAACTCCACGGTCAACCGCATCATTGGTCTGGTCGTCCTCCTGTTTCACCCTCGATTCATCCTTTGATTCTAGAATATGAACAGCACATTACCCGCTGAACGTGATTCATGCGAAATGAAAATTTCAAAATATATTTGCCTCCGCTATTCGAGTCTTCAATATCCAGAACATCTTCCGACTGCGATTCAGAATCTTCTTCAGATATTTTAACTTCTTGAGTTTCCGAACCTTCTTCAGATGAAGTAATGCCATTTTTCACGAGCAAATCCTCCGATTCCTTATCGTCACTTTCGAAGTCTACATCACTCATGGCTTTTCGTTCTCCAAAAGGCTGTTCGTTGAGATGCGACTCAGAGGGAGATTTGAACAAACTTCCATCACTTCGAGGAGGCCGCGGAGAGCCAGGCAATGATTGAGGAGGAGGCATTGGCAGTCTTGGCGCCGATGGTTTGACCTTCCGCGCAGGGTTGAAGTTGTAACAATACGCACAGCGAAAGGCTGCAACAAAAAAGCGTTCGTCAGCATTCTAAGAACACGGGTAGAGTGGCACCTTCGAGGGCAAAAAAAATCCTTCATCTTTCATACGTTTACATTTTTAGGGCACAGGAATGCACATAAATTTGTAACGGAAAGTACTGTACTGTAATTGAAGCTGGGAGGATCTCCTCGTACCTCTTCTCACAAATTATTGTATCTCCAAGCAAAAATAGCTTGCATGAAAGTACAGTACAGTATAGTAGAAGCACCGGGTGACAGGTCTTGACTCCGGGAAGATCAATTGGAAGTCCACCAGACGAATACCTAACGCGGCGAAAACCTCACGAACACTTCAAGTCAAAAGGTAGAAGCCCTTGCACAAAACTGCGATGTAATTTCAAGCTGTTCTTCCTTCAACTCAAAAGTCCTCGAAGTCCGGTGGGATCTACAGCATCGAAAAATATTTAGCTTCGAATTTCAGCAAGAAAATTTTTCAGAAGTTAGGAGAGCAACATTATAGAGACCCAGCATCATCTGCCGCTTGACTCTGCAAAAAATTAACAATTTTAGGATGCTTCTGAAAACTTTTTAAAAATTCGAAGCCAAAGGTCCAACGCTCTATTTTGTCTATTTTTTAATGCAGAAATGCTAGCCTAGACACAATCAATACAAAGTAAAGAAAAGTCAGGTTTCTGAAACCCAAAACTGATTTCGGCCGCCTCCACAATATTGCTTCTACAGTTCCAATTTTTCAATAAAAAAAATACCGTAGAACAATATATATACTGTACTACTGTATAATATACTTGGGAGTTAAGTGCTTGAACTTCATCGACTTACAATAAATTTTGAACAACAACATATGTTACGGAAAATCCGAACTCCCACTCTTGGAGCAGAACCGGAGCTAAGTTTGGGCACCCCTTCTTTCTATCCATTTTCTTCTGTTGTTAGACTTGTTACGCAGCGCTATTTGGCGGTGCAGCATCCTCTCTAGGGATGCAGGAAGCTGGGGAAAATAAAAATGGATGAAACCAAAGATTCTTATCTGTAATACGCGGCGCGCAACTTTCCTTTGACAGAAAGTTTACCACAAAAAAAAAAAACGTTAATGGAATTTTGCGAGCATTTTAGGGCAGAAAAAGCATTCAGGATCAAGACTTTGCGCGGTGAACATCAACGAATATAGGCTGAGTCTCAGCAGAGTTGAGTGTTGCAGTTCTTTGGGCTTTCCTGGTCTCCGCTGTGGTGGTGTGACAACCAAGTGTCCCACCTTTGTCTGACGGAATGAGAAGCTACAAGGCTTGCAAGAGAGTAGAGAGGTGCTGGGGAATCTAAGCAAGATTTCCAGCCACAAATAGATGCGTCCAATTGTCGTACAGTTGCATTCGTCGATTGAATTCATGAAGCGGGTACCCACTAGATCAGAACGTTGAAGCAATTCGGAAAACGAACGAAGAAATATTTTCCTCACGTTATCAAACAATTCGAGATATCGAACAGGCACATAAGTCGTTTAAAAGTTTGAACTCAAGAACGAGAGGGGGGACAAAGCAACCATTCGGCCGAGACAACGGAAACCTGATACTGTATTGATCTCATGTGAGTAAAAAAAAAGGACGAATAGCAATCATTCGATTCCGGACTTATGTGACTCGGTTTCAGATTACAAACCAGATATGAAACATCAACGAAGCGTGCTGGCGATACCATTGCACCAGCAGACCTTATGCTAAACGAAAATCAGAAGAAATTCAATCAGGGTATGTATTTTTGATTGGCTGCATTGTATTCCTCGACTATTCCTCGTCTTGCACGGAAAACCAGGCGAGATGAAATAGTTTTTTCGAATGAATAGAACTGAAACATTTTCCTGGATCGTGAGCTCTTCGATGTCTCGCGCTGCATAGAATTGTCTCGAAAGAAAGATGATTAGGTATTTCATCCGATCCGAAGAACTTTACGATTCCCATGATTCCTAAATAATAAATATCTTGTACAGCAATGTGTATTGCATGTTCAGAAATGTGTGCTAACTAAATCAGTGACGTTGCAGAGAAATCCACACGAGGTCTCAATCATGACAAGAGGGCAACAGATTTACCAAGGAAATCAAATTCTTCTTTCATTGCAAGACCATTGTGCGATTGGCAGTGGCGGCAGATCAGGGCATAATTGGAACCAGGTCCTTCTCCCATTAGTCCGTCAACAACTTGACGAAGTATGGATCTGTCTCGCGCAGGAATAGGTCTTGGCAATGGTGGTCCAGGAGGAGGCCCAACAAGAGGTCCGCGGGCAAAGGCCGGAGAGAACTGCGAAGCTCCCAACTCCATTGGACGAACTGGAGTACCGGGCAACGGACTTTGCATTGGCAAAGCCCGACGCAGTGGACCCAAGTTATTACCCCGACCTCGCATTGATGTGGAAGCGCTTCGGTAACGCATGCCTTCATCACGAAAGGACCACATCACATTTACGAACGAAGATATGCAATGCGATTACATACCAGGCGAGCTGGACAGCGAATTGGAACCGAACGGGGTGTTCAGAATACTACGGTTGAAATCTGGTTTTTGCTCCTATAAAAAATTACAATTACAGTCTCTTCATCGACTTCTATGCTATGACTATACCTGTTCGGGTTTCGGAGTCAATTTTCGAAGTTGTTCTGGAGCAAACTTTCCAAGAATTGCAGAAGCAACGTTGAATGTTTCGGTTTCCATCACGAGATCCACTATCTTAGACTTCTCCTTGTAGAGCTCTACGAGATGGTCTTGATCTCTTTGGATCTTTGATGAATAGTACCAGTTGACAAACCGCTTCCCGGCATAAATACTAGAAGAGTGAAAGCCCAAAATGAATAACTCGTAGACGAGTGTGTCGACGTAGGAACATACAAGACGGGAACCAAGAGCAACAGCACTGTATACAGCCCTTTCTCCCAAGCAGTCGGTGGCATAAGGAAGAAAGCATAAATGCCGAAAACGATCAAATAAAAAATCACTGAGTAAGTGATCCATCCTGAGACTACCCGCTGCTCCCACTTTTGAGTACTTGATTTTTCCTCTTCGAGTATTTTGATTTCCTGTACGTAGAACAATACAGCTTAAGCACAGGTTGGCGGTGTTTATAGAACATCAGAAATTACCTTCACAATGGATGCCAATCGTTCACTTGCCGATTGGCGCTTCTGCAAATGAAACAAGCAAAAGTTCCTCTTAACGTACCTGGAAGTCGTCTCATAAGTATTTACTCACGCGGAACCGAGACAAAATTCCTCCCATCCTCCATGAATCGCCAAGGTGAGAAGATACAAAAACACAGTCACGCCTTTCACAAAATTCGGGAACGTAATTTGGGCATCGGATAAAAACTATTACGGCTAGAAATTTGAAAATTCGTTTAAGTACGGTCCAAATCTTGTTCCTCACGCACGAGTTACAGTATGAAAACTTCACAGAAAACTCACGTCTCCATAACGTTCGTAGGTATTATGTCCCTCAGTACTGTATAGGGAAACTGAACGAAATATACTACTGTACATAAGAATGAGAGAGATTACAAAACGAAGAATGTCACGCTTTACGAATGGTATAAAAAAATTCCCCAATGCAGTAAATACAACATAACACACTTCAACCTGATAGTTCTCGTCAATACATGTATGAAGATTTCCCGTCAAACAATTCATAAGCTCATGCTCATTTGCACGAATATTCAACCCAGTACACGTGCAGCAACGATGATTAAAAATATAGACCATCACTCATTCAGTAGGGGAGGCCAAACGAACAAGGCGAGCATGACGTATCAATCATGAGCAAAATTACGGAGCATAATTTAAGTGACTTCTGGTAAGAGAGGTGACCCACCGCCCCAACTTTTCTCGCCGAGAAGGCGCGGGTCCTATCAGGCAATGATTAAAATAAGCAGGAACACCAGAAAAGGATGGAAGAGACGCCGTATTCTCTGTGCGTTGCTTTTCTTATTTTAAAAAAGCAGACACGGCTCGCAACACATTCTCATCCTCCTCAAGAATAACCATGGGATTCGTTTACGTTGCACTCCGAATATCGCACGTGAATGGATATCGCACGAAAACTTCGCCGTCAAAATTGCGACCTGGGGAGGGGTCTCCTAGTGAAGTACAGTAGTTTACACTGGGTCTAGATTTACTGTACTTGCAGGTAGAATAACATGGGTGATCAATCTCAGTATTCACGAAATATTGACGATATTAACTAATGCGAATCCTTATGCATTCCAGCCAAAATAAAAGGATGCACCCATACTGAATTTTATCGCTTTCGCCGCCGACCAGTCAGCGGATTATTGCTTTACGTGACATCTAGTTTAGAAAATATTTATGTCGTATGAGATATTTGTCGAAGGCGTGAGGATTGTACAGTAGTATTGTGAAGTTCGGTACGGTAAGTTGCGCGAAGGACGCATTTCCGATGAGGCCAACGGAGATTGTTGAAATGCCGATCATGCTGGGTTATTGAGATGGGCTTCAAGTGATATGATTTATCGTGTGTGAATGGATTATCAAGGAGTTTTGTGCAAATAATCGCTTGGAAAAAATTTTTGGCACTAAGCGTGTAGATTTAGAAGTTTCTAGCCATTTTAGAATTCGGACCGTCCGACGAATTGCCGTGTTGCTTGATTGGCTCAACGGGAGCAACGGTCCATTTGCAGGATTTCCTGGCGAGGATTCGCGATCCCACCGGTGATTTTGACCGAAAATGAATGGTTTGTTTTGGAGATCACGTTTGTTGTTCGACGAACATTGTTGCCAGATTAGAGATAATATCACGTGAAGGAAGATACGCCCGTTGCGGTCTGGAGGAAATGGGTGTTGGAAAATTAATATGCATTGAATTGACTCGCGAAGAAAGCTTATTTCCATCCAAAAATCCGTAGGTTCCACACACATTGTGCGTTTGTTCCGTTCGGAACTAATGTTGTCCTATTGTGCTTGTAGTATTTTGGATGATTTTTGAAAACCAACCTGTGAAACCTAGCAAAATTGTTTGTGATCATTCGTTGAAGAAGTTCACAACTGGCGTTGGTTTCGTGAAATGAAGTTATTTGGACACATTAAACTCATTCATCTTTAAATAGGCTGGATCATCAAGGGGATTAAATTCATTGGTTGCAAATCATATCTCCCGGTAGTCTGAGGTTTTATTTATTATTGGGAATGTATGCATCCCGTTCGAAGTGGTCAGTTTTTGAAGGAAACTTAATAGTATTACGTGGGCGAAGTGCATATGTTCCCGGACTCTCGATACTTATTGAACTGTCGACTTACTAAGGAATTCGTGGTTTTTTCAAGGGTGAAGCTATGATGTGGCTTGGTGTCGTCGTCGTGTGAAGAGTTGAACTTCTCTCAAGAAGCTCGCTCACGTTTGCCAAGTTGAGGCTGTATATCGTTAGAACAGTGATTCCATGACGATTCCTGAATTTCTGGATTAATTACGGGATTCTAAGCGAATATCGAAGGGCACCTGATCAACGGACTTCGTCAACGGTATTGGCTGCAAATGGCAGGTGAGTTCCGAATGCAAGCAAACGCTGTTCGATTCCCGCAAAGATATTTCGGAATGTCTCATGTGAAAGTTGAATTGGGGAGACCAATGACTTCTGAGCGCAATGAATCCAATAGTTCAGCATGGGCAATGCGTTTATAGCTCCGATTAATTCAAAATTCTTGCGCTCTCGGCGGTGTTGAACGAAATTTGAGGATGAAAAGATGAAGGGGATTGTTTATGGTTCTGGTGAAACGAGGCCCAGCCCTCGCGCCTTATTCAACGTTTTTGCTGCAGTCGTCTGTGAAGTGTTACACATGCGTTCAATGAAGAACCATTATGTGGTGAAACTCGTAATGGCGGAAGCGTATATTCCACCCATCTATTTTTATGCCTCGCCTTTTTTTTAAATCTTCAGTTTTGACTCTTATGGCCTTCTTAGCTGCCCGATTCCGCGATGAAGAAGCGAGGATGAGCTCTTCAAATCTAGACTGCCTCTCTTCGGGTTGAAATTCAAACTTCGGGTTGAAAGTTTTTCTCAACGCGGTGAAATAGCTAGGACGCCCGGGAGTAATTTTGCTGGAACGCATCTTCAGAACGTAGAGGAATGTTGACCCGTTTTCCTTCTTGGCTCGTGTTACGAATCGTGCTTCTTGTCGGTTTAATGTCATGCCGCATGCTCGTTTCCCTCTAACAAAAAAACATAGCTGCTGAGTTTGTAAATTTCTATCGTGAACATGCTTCGCTTCAGTACGGATCACCTTATTTTTCGTTCGTTTTAGATGTTGCGTGAAATTTTAGTTTCCTTCGCTGAGCAGTTTCACTGGGCTGAGAAAAAAGAATTTTCGCCTCCCGATCCTGCAAAGCACGTCGACCTAGACCAGGAATAGCTTCCAGGTGGTCGGGTTACGTGCGAAGGCAAAAAATGTCGCGAGTACCGTCGCACTAGCCGTTTTTGTTGTTTTATTCTTCGTAAGGCTCTGCTTCACGTGTGTGTTTCTCTCTCCCGAGAATTGTATTTATTCTCGACCGTGTATCTGATGGCAGAGCCTGTGCTGGGAGCCGGATCTGGGTCAAATGCGAGATCGTTCATTTTCGCTCGTCTGTGGCGGTCGAACTCGGTAGTCACGCGTTGCTTTGAGGGACGCCCCGTTGTTAGAAATTCACATTTACTTCTCTAGTTGCGACGGAAAGGACGTCACTGGAGTTCATCTCCGCGAGTGCTCATCGAAACGATAATCTAAATAATAATCGAAAAATTTGCATCCCTTTCTTAGCTGTAAGTGAAGTCTCGCGGATGTTTGATCCGACGACTGCGCTTCGGAAATTTTGATCGAAGTATCGCAGTGTTTTATTCCGAAAAATTATTTTCATAATTGTATCAACAGTTGTACTTAAGGTAAATATCGCCATATTTACTGATACTGGTGGTGATATTTACTGATACTGGTGGGACTTTCCGGTTTGCATAAGAAATCACCTGTGCGTTTGTCTGATATCAATTTTGGTGTTTCGACTAAAATTTGAAAATTTCTGAGAGTTGAGCCCAATCTCAAAGAAAATTTGCTTGCCAGCGGCTTTTATTCTTTTTTGTTCAGTACTGTACTATAGCCTGTTGTTCTGTTTTGTTTAGTACAGTACTATAGCCTAAATTCAACATTGGATGATGTAGATTTATGAAGTCGCAGACAGTGGGTTCAGAAATTGTAAACTTTGTTCCGTCATTCGATGCGGCTCATCTTCTGAAGTGGGTTCAACAAAATAGGTGTGGCAGATCGTTGAAGTTTTCTAAGGCGTCCCAGGAGCGTGAATGATCCTTGATCGCGCATTGAATCAACATATTACATGCTCAGTCTCCGTGTTTGGCCAGAATGCCTGTTGGCACCGTAAGTTACTTGCGTCTGGTTAGTGTTGATGCCGGTGAAGTCGTGGTTGCTAGAGGAGAACCCCGCGTAACCTCCGCTGCGATCCGGTTCGTGTCTCGGGAGAGGTGTCGCAGCACATCATGCGTTGGTCGCGTGACCCACTGTTGATGTCGTTTGGGCTAAAGTGATATGCGGGTCTGTGGAGTACGATGCCCGTGGGCTGCTTCTCATTGGGGCTTTTCTACGAGGAAGGTAAAATGCGGATGATGGTCTATCATCGGCGACTCCACATGTTTTCGTATGGATTCGAGTCGGCTGCTTCTGATAGAGAACCTTACTAAAGTGATTTTATTCCTTCTTCCTTCCTTCCTCAAGGAAATGGAGAAACGCAATGGGCCTTTTCGCAAGTGAAAGGTACATTGGACGAAGAAATAACCGAAGGTCAGTTGTATTTAGAGATACTTAATCTAAATAGGTTATGCGCATTATTTCTGCATCAAACAGGCACGCAATAGTATTCTAACCATCCCATTTTACCCTTTTTTCGGCTTCAAACGATTCTGAAGCCAAATTCATAATTGGTAAGCGGAATTTCACCCGCTAGTTGGGAAAAAAATTGTGAGCTTCTTATGTCAAGTATTTGGTGTAGTCACCATTACCGTGCATCTGATCAAACAACTTCCTAAATCTTTATTGAACAGCCTATACTAATGCGGTCGGAAATAGAATATGAATTGAATTATTATGTGATCACTGAATCCAATTTAAATTGAGATATGTATCAGATATTGCTTAACTTCATGGTTTGTTCTGAGTTCTTCGTGTCCTGTGTCCTCCAATTAAATGTTTCCGGAAGCACCCAGGAAGACTCGTGATTGCGTCGAGTATTGTCGCTTAAATATGCTCTTACTGACAATGAAATGATTTTTTATTATCTCCAGCTGATATTATATCATGTGTGGAATTCAATCACGACGGCGATCTCCTAGCGACTGGCGACAAAGGCGGACGTGTTGTTATCTTTCAACGTGAACTCGGGGTGAGTTGATCACTTCTCGTTTGAATTTGAGAGGCATTCCATGATTCTTAACTGCATGAACAGGGGAAAAGTGCGTCGCTGCGCAAGAATGAGTACAATCTGTACAGTACTTTCCAAAGTCACGAGCCCGAGTTCGACTATTTGAAGAGCTTGGAGATCGAGGAGAAGATAAATAAAATCCGTTGGCTGCGGCGGAAAAACCCGTCGCACTTCCTGCTGTCGACGAATGGTGAGGCGGGGTTTCCCATTCTTGAGGGGGGTTCGGTATGTGATGCCATCTGTATCGTGGGCTTGGGGTTTTGCGTGCAGACAAAACAATCAAATTGTGGAAGGTTTCCGAGAGGGACAAGAGACCGGAGGGTTTCAATGTTACCGATGAAGCCGGGCAGCGCAAGGATGCCAGTTCCGTGCATTTGGACCACAGCTCGATCAAGGTATGCCTGGCTACGTGTGCGTCGAATCGGGTGCATCTCTGCTTGAGTTTTTGTCACCACATTTCTGTTGCTGATTTGGAGAGAATGCTGGACGAAGGACGGGGCTGATGGCTTTTTCCCCCTTTGTAGGGGATGATGATTTTTTTCTCAACTCCGTTGAACCACGTAAATCAAACAAAAGTGACACTTGAATGTAAATTAATTAAGCCGACGGACACTTCGCGTGAGAGTTACAAAAATTCGACCAATATTCCAGTATCCGCTCCAAAAAAGTAGGACGACGGAACATCTACGTACAATATAAGATAATTTAGGAACTTCATGCGTATCGTAGTTAGTAATGTAAATCGTTTGGCTTCGGTTCCTTGTAGAAATACAGTAGTGGAATGCAGGTACTGGAAGCCATCCTCTGGCCCTTTTTTGTCGCTCGAAGTACAATAATTTCTTGCTCGAAACTATAATTTCGAAAAGTTGTTGCCCGCGGTCAAAATTTGGGAAATGCAAAGAAAGAAAACGCGCCATAGAATTGACTCCGACTGACAATCATCCAGGAATTTATCAGAAGAGTAAAGCTGATGGAGGTAATCGATTAAAGTCGGATGCCGACGCCATAGCGTGAATCTTAGCACAGTAATGCTTTTGAGGTCAATCTTTTTCTTCCCCCTGATCGTCGTGAGAGTTCTGTTCAACGCCGATGTAATTTTATTGAAAGCTCACGTGTATGCATTGGTTTGAAATCCTAAACAGCTGATTCGTTGCTGAAGATAAGCTCACTTACGTCTCAAGTTTTGAGAAATTAATGTACTGTGCAGTATTTTCATGTTAAGCTTCATCAATTGAATTTTAGATCAGTATTCGGGAATTGTCGGACAATTCGTCAGAAGGTTCACGTTCACGGGGAACGTGATTTGCCTGTGGTAACGATGCGTTGTTACCTTAGCGTTGCCAAGCGTTTCTGTGGTAAGGTATGCGAAAATTTTAAAATGACGTTACAGTATAGCCATCGTACAGAAATTTGAAGACGCCTTATTCGACCACTTTTCCACTTGTTCATTATGATCCAGGATTTAAACCTGATATTTTGCTAGGTACCCGTCTTCAAGCCAATGGAACTGTGGGTCGAGGCGAGTCCGAGACGAATATTTGCCAATGCGCACACTTACCACATCAATTCTATTTCCGTCAACTCTGATCAAGAGACGTATTTGTCGGCGGATGACCTGCGAATCAATCTGTGGCACTTGGAGGTCAATGATCAGTCGTTCAACATAGTCGACATCAAGGTATTAGAGGGGCTGTTCTTTATTCCTTCGGGTGGAATTTGACGATCTTTTCATTTTCAAGCCGACGAACATGGAGGAACTCACCGAGGTGATCACTGCCGCAGAATTCCATCCGCAAGAATGCAACTTGTTCGTTTACAGCTCGAGTAAGGGATCAATTCGTCTCTGTGATATGCGTGAGGCAGCACTTTGTGACAGGCATTCGAAGCGTAAGTGTTTTACTCGTTGCGTTTTTTTTTTTTTTTTTTTTTTTTTTTTGTTACAGGCATGCGAAGCGTAAGTGTTTTACTCGTTGCGTTTTTTTTTTTTTTTTTTTCATTCGAAGGATAGCATTAAAATCGCACAATATTTTTTCACAGTTTTTGAGGAGCCAGAAGATCCGTCGAGTCGGAGTTTCTTCTCCGAGATAATCTCCAGCATCAACGACGTCAAATTTTCGAATTCTGGTCGATACATGATGTCCAGAGACTACTTGCGTATCAAGGTGTGGGACCTCAATATGGAGAATCGTCCAATTGAAACCTACGACGTGAGTTGCGATTTGTTTGCCGAATACTTGTTTCTTCCAATTTATGCAACCGTGGAGACTGAAAAAATTAAATACTTTTCTGGTAAAAAGTATGGTGGTTGCGTATACAGTATTAACTCTGCGGTCAATAGTAGATGTACATTATTCGATGCCTGGTGGATAATTTCAAGTCGAGATGTAAACCGCTAAAAATGAGGTCGCTTTTTTCACCTTTTCTGGTACTGTATTATCCTTTGTCTTGATAATCGAATGGTGCATTTTGGTGCACACGCCGATTTTAGAATAGTGTATGCGGAAAATTTAATATTGTGTGTATTTGTTTCGCAGGTTCACGAGCATTTGCGGTCAAAATTGTGTTCCTTGTACGAAAATGATTGTATCTTCGACAAGTTCGAGTGCTGTTGGAGTGGAAATGACGCAGGAATCATGACTGGCTCGTACAATAATTTTTTCAGGTACGCCTGACATCGACGTTCACCTACAGAAATCCGTTGCGAAATGGAATCTCATCGTATTTTAGACTCACATTCGTAACCTCTTCGTCATTTTCATCGGGACAGCCGACCGATATGTTATGTATTCTATTGAGCCTCGCAAAAGGAGTTGCCCCGAGAACTGAACCCTATTTACAAATAAATTGCGCAGAATCGATAAAACAAACGCGAATCGATGGACGAAAACTTTTTTTATGGCGTTAAAATCCCCCGTTCCCCGTGAAATTTCTTGTATTTGGAATGATTCAACGACTGATCAATTCACTGATATGAAGGCTAACATTGACATACTTCGTCGGAAGAACTCCTGACGGTTAGCGAGAAACCGTGAGCTGCACTCGTACGATGATGACTTTTGAAAAATAGGTGTCTTCACGATGCCATGAAAAATAGCAAGGCGTGCATTGTGTAAACGGCTATAGTACGCTTGTCTGGGTAACTGCTAATCGGTTACTGTGATGATAACGGGGCTGACTTTGTTGACGTGTATATGTTGTAACTTCCATGTATCCGATCCGCCGTCAAATGTGACTTTTTTTTCGTGTTTGCAGAATGTTTGACCGCCAAACGAAGCGTGAATTAACGTTTGAGGCGTGCAAGGAGATTGCGAAGCCAAAAACTCTTTTAAAGCCCAAAAAGGTGACCCACCTTTTTCTCTTATTTTTTTGGTCAAGTTGGATTGCGAAGTTAAATTTTGGATGTTTGCTTCGTTTGAAAAGGTATCCTCGGGAGCCCGGAGGAAGAAGGAGGAGATCAGCGTAGACTCCCTGGATTATGCCAAGAAAATCCTGCACACAGCCTGGCACCCGTCGGAGAACATAATCGCCGTCGCTGCCACAAACAATCTATACATGTTCCAGGACAGAGTGTAGCCCTGTTCGGTAGCGTGCATCCGTGTGCTGCTTCGTAGCTCGGCGGCCCCCTTTCTTTCAGCCGCAGGGCGCCGCGGCGTGAGGATGTGGATTTTCTTCTTCTCCGGAAGAACGCGATGCTGGCGTCTTCTTGTTTTCGGTTGTACCCCGCCCGGGTAGCCGCGAGAATACACTTGACAGGCCAGCAGCAGCAACCTCTTCCAGGTCTCTTTGTTTGTTCCAGTTGTACGTTTGGGTGCGAAGTGAGTTCCTCCTTGAGAGCATGTGTTACGTTGTTGTTCTGCATTTTATGTTAATGTTTTTCGTCGCGATGAACGAAGTGAAGCGTTTCTCCTTCTAGGCTGATGATAGAACAAAATGTGTCTTAGGCCCCCGTCGCCGCAGGTTCTTCCGAGCCCTTGGAATCGTAACCAGTTCGCCGTTTTGTAGACATTTTCTTTCCGTGCTCAGGGCTCCGATAGGGCGAGAGTGGGAGTTGAATGGAGGTAATTGTTGTTTTCCGAAGGAAGGCTAGGGTTCCCAGTCGAGGTGCGTAGACGCGGTCGAGCCTTCGCAATCGGCTGCCGAGGCGCGGGTTATTTTCGCAGAGTCCACTCGAGTATTTTTCCCTCCCTAGACTCACTGTCAGTGCCAGGAGACGGATCACGTAGTAGACAACGAGGCGTCGATCGGGACTCTCGGGTGTAGGAATCGATGTCAGGGCCGAGATGAGCTCATGTGAGGAAAGCATTTGGCAATTTGGTTTCGTGGCCGTCCAGGTATATAATTCCAAAAAGATCCTTTTACCCGACGGCGGAGCGAATGATGATTCAACATTTCGGGGCATGAAATTTCGTACTTTTGTAGCGGTCCAGCGACCGTGCGCCGTGAAGCATCGTAACTTTGTATTCGCTCGCTGTTCGTTGTTCATTTACGAACGAGTAGCAGCCATTCACCAGCGATTTTTAGCAATTTGTCGGGATGTGACGGAGAATTTCATTCATTCATTCATTCGATTCTTCGGCATCATGCGCCAGCCGGAGGGTACGAGTCGTATTGTCGTTTTCTGGTCTCCCGTTCGTTTTTTCGTTCGTTTCACCTTCGCCGTGTACACGTGCTGCTTTTTATCATTCAAGGAATACTGTATACCCGTTTGGATGCCCGTTGCTAACGATTACAGCGCTGTTCTTAGGTTTGCTAGCGTTTTGTTGCATCTTCATTTTTACTCGGTGTTTTTATAAGAGAGCGGATGAATGCGTTTCATAAAATAACTCCGCAGCCGTCGGATCGCCGAAAGTTTCTCTTTGGGATATGTACCTGGTTGTGCCAAATATTATTTTCAATAAAATCGCGTGAGAAAGAAAGAAGAAACATCTGCGATGCCGTGAGTTTGGTCATTGGCCGTTTAGCGCGTGTTAATGCCTGATTTCTTTTTCAGGGGAGTGTTCCGTTGCTTCGAAAAGGGACATGGTGAGGTAGTTGAAAATCAACGTTAGTCGCGATCAGAAGAGATGTCGGTGTTATCGACAACAAAACTGGTTTAAATTCACCAGAATATTTGAGACTGTGGCTGATGGAGGGGGTGGTTTTTATGTTCAAAGTGGAAGATCAAGGCAATTTCGAGACTCGCCTTGATTGGAAGAGGCGTTGAACCTTTCAATAAGTTTAGAGTCGCTTTGGAACAAACATGCAGATCACAGACAAGAGAATCCAATTTAACGAGAAGATCGGGAGTGGGAAGAATAAAGCATGACGTCTCTTCTTCGATTACAATTACGGTGAATACTTGAGGCGTACTTTTCTGTAAAGGCTTGAATGAAATGTGGAATATGAAAACGTTCCGAGGGCTATTGCAATGGATAAATGTTACATTTTGAAGCGCGTTCACTGACTGCTGATTATATTTCAATCCAATTGTCATTGGTTTCGTTTGAGCGCACTGATGGTTTTGAAGTAGAATGGAAACATATACAGTAATATAATTATTTAGGAACTCACGTTCTGAAATATTTAGCCCATTCTCAACAATTATGCTACATCCAGGACTCTCGACACACACCTAATTGAGGCGAATATTTATGGAAACGTACTCAATATCCATTTGACTCAATTATGTAGACCCCTAGTTCAGGATATGAGCTTACCAACGAAGTATTTTATTGACCATTCACTCATACGTTACATCTCGTTTCTGCACGAATTCAGTTGAGGTTAAGAAACGCTAACCATAACGTGGGCCATGAAAACTGACCGTGTGTGAATTTTCTCTTTGTAACTGCGATTCATGTTTCATGTACTGGTATATTCGTTGTATATATTGACATTCTTTTCTAAACCAAATCGCAACAGTTGTTGAACCAGTGTTGAAGCCTCCTTCGTAGATTTCTTATGTGAAGTTTCATAGCTTAGGCTGGGAACGAGCGTAGCAATCTGTTTTATATTTTAGGAATATTTTGCTCATTAATTCTTGGAATCAGATAGAAAGTAATATATTTTCGTCGAATGCTAATTTTGCCTCAGGTGGATTAAAAATCATTTCAGACAAATTCGCGCTTTACTCGAGACAGGGGTGTTCAATGACGAAGTTTTTGAGACACTTCAAATGACTCGTGAAAGCGAGCTTTTCGAGAACGTAGTCCCGGGTCAGTGCCGTTATATAGAAATTGTGCGTATGATGCTGACCTTGTGAGTACCACACCAAATCAAAAATGCTGACTGTGATAAAAGCGTGTATTGCATTAGTGAAATATCGTCGGTGACGTGTGAGAAAAGAAAGATTCGATCGGCGCACGACAGAAGCTTCGCGGGCTAAAGAGCTTCATATTGGCAATGGTGTGCGGGGAATCGCAGTTCAGTTTTCCTCCGCCCGAGAACCACGTCTTCCTTGCTGCACCCGAGAGTGAAAACTCATTGCGAAGCTACCAACAAACGGGAGAACGAAAAACAAAGAACTAGGATTCAATTCCGTCTTCGCGAGCACCACGGTGGACATTCGCCTTGCTCAGCTTCCTGGACGCCGTAGTTGAAGCGGAGGGCCATGGCCGCCACTTTGGCCTGAGCCAGCTCCGAGTGGGCGGCGTTGAGTGAGGTTTTCGTCGTCCGAGGCATCGAGAGGAAGAGTTCCCCCAGCGAGATCTTGGTCACTGTGTTGGTCCACTTCTGCCGCAACTCCTCATTGAGCTTCTTGCGTTTCAGCGTTAAGATGTCGTCGTCGTCCACAACCGGGGACGGTATTTTGTCGAGCATCTCGTCGAACTCGTCTGGAGGACATTCTTCGCCAAACTAAGCAAAATAATACGGTTAATTTAAGGGGAGAAAGAAGTAGTTTTCTCTTTTTTTTTGTGGAAGCCGGCGCGCGAAGTGATGCGAAGGTGACGTGCGATGTTCCAGTGAGAAAGAAACTGTCCGGAAAAACGGACTATCAACAGGACTAGGATGGTGGAACGCCGAACTGCTTCAACCTTGAAGTACACGTAATTCAAGAATCTCGATTTCCACTGCGGGAAGGGAAATGAACCCACTCGTGTACACTAATTTGAAGGATTCACTGTAATTACTGACCATTCAGTCTATCCTCAATTTCTATTCCAACTGCATCAAAAGTTATCACCTCCGTGATTTTCTAGTGTTACTAACACAGTATAGTGAAACCTCCATTAGTTGAATTTCAAGGGACCAGCAAACAATTTAACTTTGGGAGGCTTTGAGTTGGAGAAACAAGCATTTTTGTTGTGGGAAATACAGAAGAATTGCTAGAAATTGTTAATGGTGATATTCTGAGCCTTGAATTGACAGGATGATGAAATTTGAGGCAGGGGTTCATTTGCCCAAGTTTTCTACTACATTTCAAAATGCGTCGTTAATCACTTATTGCTTTTTTCTTTCCTGTGTCAAGAAAATAGTACAGAAATCTTAAGGACTCCTGAAAATTTTAAATAGAACCCTTTGATGGGAAAGCATGCTAGTTGAAGAGGTTGAAGATGCAAAGCCTTCGTGTTTAATAGGGTTTCAATCCATTGTTCCTAAAGGAATTCAGACCACTACTTGAAAAATCTTCGGATTTGGGAGGTTTGACTTATCAAGGTTTAACTGTAATAATAACCTAGCCCAGTGTTCCCCGATTATTTGGGCAGATCCAGCAAATTTCCGTAAACATTTTTGAGGACATTGAAATTTCCAAAAATGTTCTGCAGACCTGCAATGTTTCATACAATTTTTGGAAACAAAAAGTTTGTGTTGAAGAATATATGGTATGTAGAAGAAATTTAAGGTAGCAGAATTATTGAATAAAGTGGGCATGAATAAAGTTTTCTCAGAGTGAAAAATAATATAATTTATTTCGGCCGGTGAAAATTTAACTGAAGTGTAATTAGGAGAACAGCCAACTTTTATTTCAACTGGCAATTCAAAACTTAAGTACAGTCAAACCTCGTTAAACCGCCAACGTTTGTGCCACCAAATTTTGGCGGTTTAAAGAGGTTGGCGGTTTAACGGGGGAAGCAAAAAATCCTTTCTTTTTAATGGGGGCAGGTTGAAAAAAGGGTGACACATGGAAAATAGAAGCAGCACATATAAGTGGAGAAAACTACTTTATTCAAGTTTTAAAGGATTCCATTTGAAATTTTCAGGGATTATAGCCTTATTTGTTCCTGCCATTTCACACACTTCAGCACTTCCACTTCCCAAGATCAAACTCAGTTGACTGGTAACTGCTTTTTTTGTTTGCATTTTTGAAAAAAGTCCAACCTTCTGTTTCCTTGGTTGTTGAGACAAAACAGTTGCTGAAGATTGTTGACAACAATATTCAAGGGTTTTATTGACATGAAACTGTGAAGGGTGTCATGCTGTATCTGTGGATGAATATTTTGGCTAGTTATGAAAAAAAATAAGGAAATAGGCTATGCATCAGAAAATGATAACCTTCATGAGAGGAAATGAGTTCATGTGTATTTATAAGCATAAATTATTTTGTCTTTTTATTTAAAAGAAAAAGAAGGCCATGCATCAGAAGATGATGACCTTCATGAGAGGGAACCAGAAAACCAGGTTTCAAAAAGACAAAAACCTGGCTGATGGACAGCTAGGAAAACAGTTGGCGGTTTAAAGGGGGAAAAATACATGTTGGGAGCAGATTTGGTGGGGGAATTATTTTGGCGGATGGCAGTTGGCGGTTTATCGGGGGTGTCCCATCCTTTCAAGATTGGGACATTTTGTTTGATAGAAAAACTTGGCGGGAAGTGAGGGTGGCAGTCTAACGGGGGGCGGTCTATTGGGGTTGCACTGTAACCTAGTAAAAAAGTGGGATTGTCCTTCTGTGACAAAATGCTTTAGTCCCACTAATCCCCAGGCACCTACAATTTCAAAGCAGTCTTGTACTTCATTTGTGTTCTTCGCGTGAAAACAATTTTTTCTGTCCCAATAATTTTGTCCCTCCGAACATTTATTTAATCCTCTGAAGATCCCCTGTGAGAAAAATCGGGAGAAAGTTAGAATCTAGAACGTTTAAATGTTAGAGAAGTACACACGGCTTTTCAGGTCGTGGGGCATTTGCAAATCTAGATGATTATATCGCTCCTGCCGATTAATAATCATGTAATTATTTGACCCTGGATGCCGGAAGAATTCGACAAAATTCAGCGTTTTCTTCAGTGTTCTTCAACTTCCTCAAGCTAGAGGTGTCGTAAATGTTGCTGGGTTATTTGTGAAAGCTGAGGCACCTCTTCTTGAAGCATTTAATGTGTACATACATATTAACCACATAACTGATATTCCAGACAACAAAGTTGAGTTTCAGGTTACTGATGCCCAAACGTGTGTATGAATGTGCGGTGGGTTCATATTAATGCAGAAGCACAGCAGTGCAGGTACGAACCTCGAATGAATCGCAGCCCACTGCATGCACTATTGAAAGAAATGTAATCAAATTTCATCATGTGATTATGAATAAATCACGTTTCATAAAGGTGATACCATAAATCACATTTATGTTACTGTAAACATCAATGCATAAATTGAGAATTAAAATCCGAAGCCCACTAAGAATGTATTTTTTACCTCATTACAATGTACGAGGTTAAAGATGCTTTTACAGTGCAGTCAACCCTTAATCTATGGCCATCCTTGCGTTTTGCCACCAATTTTCATGGAACATATATGCTTCAATAGTGTTCCTTAGGGAATCCCAAATTTAGTGCCAAAGCACTGTCCCTTGTTTTGTATGAAAAATGGTCAAAAATCAAGAAAAATTTCGGTCTTTTTCCTGGAGATAAGAGACTGAGAAGCAAGCCATGATCAGGATAATTTTGAAAACTATATTTCTGAATTTACCTGTCATTGAGTGGCATTATTTGGATGTCATTCACAATCAAGAGCATCTCCATATTTGGAATAGCCTCTCTGACAAAGGTTTTTAAATAATCTTTATATCCTAAACCTCAAACTGTCTTCATTGAATGAAAGGATCACTTTGCACATCATATTTCAGAATTCCAATGGTTAAAAATATGTTTTTATTGCATGAAACCTTTCTTTATTGAAAACTTATAACAGTAAGGAAGGATCTTTCCTGGAGACATTGGTGATTCCTGCTTGACGACATCTGATGTAAAATAAATACAAACTTCTGAGAAGCAGATCTGTTGTGCTCCATTGCTAGACACAGTGTGCATGAAAACCCAGCTTATTCTGTCTCAGTAAATACACTTGAACCGCAAAATTTGGAACCTTTTCAAGTGAATTACTGTCCCTCCATATTTCAACTTTTTCAAGTCCCATAGAATCAATGCACTGCCTGCCTCAACTCAAGGATATCCCCGTCAAACCTCCAAAACTTGAATTTTCTTGAGGCCTTTAGGCTATGGTTTTGACCAAGGAAGGAGACAAGCAATG